ACACACACACACACACACACACACACACACACACACACGCACATACATTTCTCAGCAGTGTAGAAGCCTCACAGTGAGTTGCCTCATTAGCGGGGCTGCTCTCTCCTAACCACTCAGAACATGACCACGCCACAGAGCAATTACATGCCCACCTGTGGTAGACGGCAGGTGCCTAAGGGTGAAGGGAGGGCCAGGTATGGGCAGGGGGCAGACTAATGAGGCTGTTAAGGGAGTGAATCACAGGTAAGCGGGTTTTACATGTAATATGAAGAATGCCCTCGAGCCTCCACCTGGACAAAATAACGGTACATGATTTAGGCTAAAAGTGGCGCCCTTAACAGTCATCATGAAGTCAAGTATCCTAAGATACTGTTATGTTTGGCTGTGAAAAAATAAACATTATTATGAAGGGCAGACCATCTATTTCTATGTATTTAGTTTTTTTTAGAAAGGGGCAGGTCATATAAGATTTTTTCTTCTCCCTGCTCCTTTTCGCTCAATGGTGTGTTTGTAGAGACATGTTTTGTTGGCAATTATTGTACATTGGGTTTTGCGTACCATGAGCGGAACAAATAAAAATGAAATGAAAAGTACACAATCTAGATTAGACATACAGATGTGGAATCGGGCATGGGTGGTAACATATGTTCTTGACTGGAAAAACTATTTCCTTGTCTTTTTCACATCACATTTGAGGCCTTTTTATTTACGCACAATGTTGAGGTACTTTACCTGAGTATTTTTTATTTAATGCCACTTAATAATTTTACTCCTCTACAATAGGGAGGCAAATATTCTACTCTTATCTATATTTATCTGACAACTTAAGTTACTTGTTACTTTGCAGATTCATATTATTAGCTCATAAAGTGATTCATAGGTTTTTCATTATTATTCTGAAATTGTCCCTAATGCAAAATGAGCACTTTTCCTTTTAGTACTGAATAGTAAACAACATTTGATTAATACTCATGTACACATTACAGTAAGATTTGGAATGCAGGATTCTAACTAATGGAGTATTTGAACAACTTACTAATGCTAATTGTACTTAAAATCCTAGCATTTCTTCCTCCACTGGACACATCTTCAACTTACTTTATGGCAAAGATGTTACCTAAAGTATTTAATTGGCTGAAGCATTCATAATAAATAATGTTCTTTTTATATTGGGCAAAAGTTGACATATTTTTGTGTGTATGTGTGTGTAGTACAACTGTCCAACACAAGGGGGTGCTTGTCCCTCATGAGAGTGTTTCTCATTGAGCCCCTGCTGTGTGGGTAAACCGTTCCTTCTCCCTGGGAGATGGTCCTCTCTTGAGAGATGAGGGCCTCTGTTTGCCCCCATTATTTCTGTATGAGTGGGCATGATGAAGTCTGCAGCTCACTTCAGTTCATCTTGTCCTAATAAGCCTGGAAAACAGCTATATAGGCTATTCTAAATTAAGTGTTCGATTTTCCCTGAGCATAATTCAGTCCAGGTTAAAGTAATGGAGCTTTGATTAAATACTGTAACATT